ATGAGGAGTGTTCCATTAAGTGCATTCTCTAACACTTTAACTTTATAAACGAATTGATCAAATTCTGGAGCATTGTCATTCACATCCAAAATTATGATCAACAGCTGAACTGTGCCTGTCAGCTCTGGTTTACCGCCATCACTGGCTGTCAGTAATAAACTATGTTCCTGAATTGTCTCCCTGTCTAATGTTTTCCTTAAAACAAGTGATAACGAAGACGTTTGTTCACGATTGTTTTGCATATCCAAAGTGAAATAATCATTGGGATCCAGTCGGTAGGTCAAGGCAGCGTTTGCGCCAATATCTGCATCCGAAGCGCCATCTAGTGGAAATCTGGTTTCTGGAGGTCTAGATTCTGCAATCTTTATGCTTTTGTTATTTTCAGGGAATACTGGCGGGTTGTCATTAATATCTTTAACCTCCACCTCCACATGAAAAACCTGCAGCGGTCTGTCCACGATCACCTCCAGATGGATGCTACACTCTGCGCTCCGCCCGCACAGCTCCTCCCGGTCGATCCGAGAATTCACAAACAAAATGCCATTCTGCAGATTTACCTCCAGAAGGTCCCTGCGGTCCTTGGACGACACTCGGAACAGGCGTGGCACCAATTCTGTTATCTCCAGCCCCAGGTCCTGCGCGATGCGGCCCACAAAGGTGCCGTGTTTTGCCTCCTCCGGGACAGAGTAGTGGAGCTGACCGCTCCCGGCCTCCCAGTCTGTGAGGAGCAGAAGCGAGAACAGAAGGTGCCGGGCTCCCGGGTCTCTTTGCAAGGAAAACAGCATGATACACACATAAGGATTCATAGATATCTACAGTATATAGAATGCCTTACATAAAACTTCCTCTCAAGGATCCGTTTTATGAGCTTCTAGTGCGAGAGAATTCGCAACGGATTTCCCACTACCTGACGAATTTTCTGGAGGAAGATACCGTGCCTTTCTTCGCAGAAACATTCTCAGTAAAGAGCGACACCATGCGCATGAATGTGTAAGTGTAAGAATGACTAGGTCTTCATATTTTCCATTTGATGTAGGGTATCGTTTTCCTCACATTTACCGACTTTTTCGCCGCAAATATGTAATTTGAGATTAAATATATACCTTTACAGAAACAGTAAATCGTTGTATGCTGCTCAGCATTGGATGTTATTTGACAATTGGTTGATGTGTTCGATTTTTCCACAAATTTGTTTCATGTGTAAAACCTCCATGGAGAACTTTTAAAGGGAGAATATTATACATTCACTTGAGAGCAATGGATCTCTAGTTCTCATATTCCTGTAGGCTTTGGTTGTAATTTCCTTTTCCTGTAATATTTTTCAAGACCTTCTCATACAATTTCCACTGATTCCAAATGGAAATATAACATTCTCATAAGGGGGGGGGGAAGCAGATGAATGCGAAGGATATTGGTAAGTGATACACCAGATTTTGAATTATTTCACCATGTTTATAAATTCATCTAAATGTGACTGTGCCTTGTAGGTAAAATGTTTGTATATGAAAGAAAATATTTAGTCAAATTGTGTGAGCTTGTGTGTGTGCACAAATACACAGTAAACTCAAGACCATTTAAATACAACAACACTTTGAAGTTTTAAGTTTCCTTAGCCAAAAATATGCTAAGAACCAGCCTCCTGTGTATTTAATAGAATTTAAACTACAACCAATAGACTTACCTTCTTTTTCTTTTTTCCTCCCTTTCTCATTTCATCATCACTAAGAAAAAACTTACTACCATTTAAATTGATTCTGACTTTCCAAGTAAGTGACAATAGCAAGACAAACGTGTTAACACATCGTAAGCAAGGAAAAGAAGTGAATCTTTTATCCATTGCTATCATTACCAGGACAAGGCCAAATAACACAATGAAAAATATATAATAGCTTCTAATAAATATCATTCTGATATTTATTTCTGTGCACAACTCTGTAGGAAATGACAGCTGGGTTGATTTCTGTACCTCTTTCCCCTCTTAAACTTTATATAGAGTATTTGGTATTTGTTTGCTCTTATCATCCTCTCAAGCTCCATTACTTCTACTAACATACTTCATTCTCATAATGGGAAAATCTCATGATTAGTTCTAATGATTCTTGTCTATTTGGCCCTCCACTGCTTCACAAATTTCTCCACATAAACTAAAATTCATAGTCAACCATTTAAAATATAACCTTCCAGATATCATAAGATCAGTCACCTGTTTATCTTACTCCTCTCTAACATTCTTTAGCATCCAACACACAATTAACTATTCATTTTCTCTATTCTTCCTATTGACCTCAGTAAAAAGTAGTTATTTAATGATGATGACTATATTCTCTAGAAGTTTACTTACACATTTTCTACAGCTGGACCTCAAGTTAACTAATAAACTCTTCCTATTGCCTTCAGAAATTATTTATATTATTATCCTTCTCTCTTCACAATTCTCCACTCCATTCCTACTGCTTGACTTTTGGATAATTTTCCTATTAGGAGAGTGAACTCACTGCTCTCTTCTCATATCAACAATTTTCCTTGTAGTCTCTACTTTTCTCCCTATTAGTTCACAGGAAAAAACTGTCCCCACTTTTTATGCTAACCCTATAATCTGAAAAATATTTTCCATTTTCATCTCCTTCGTGTTTTTATCTTCACTTCATTCCCTTGCTTCCTGTTTTGTCTTTCATATCACCTTCTTTACTTGCTTCTTTGCTCTCACACAAAAAATTCTCAAATATCTCTAAAATATGCATCAATTTATATATAAATAATTGTATTATATGTTTTTATTAAAACATATTTATATGAACATATATACTTAAACATGATACTTCTGGGGAAAAACTTTTATTTATCTCCTTTCCTTCACCTCTAATTTCTAAATTTAGTTGAAGTTTGATCTCAGCTGCCTATCTATTCTCCCTGAGATTTTAGGCCTACCATAGTAGGGTGAATGGTGGTTCCTCAAAAAGATATACCCACATCTTAAGACTCAGAACTTTTGAATATTACTTTATAGGCAAATGATGTAATTAAATTAAGAATCTTGCAAGGAGACATGTATCCTGGAGTATACAGGTGGGCCCTAAGTGCAATCACATGTACACAGAGAATACATGGAGAAGAGGAGGAAGCTATGTGACCATGGAGGCAGAGATTGGAATGATATAGCCACAAGCTAAGGAATGGCACCACCCATGAGAAATTTAAAGAAGCAAAGAACAGATATATTCCCTAGATGTATTCCCCTAGAGCTTCCAGAGGGAATATAAGCCCTGCTAACACCTTGATTTTGGTCTTCAGATCTCCAAAACTGTAAGTGAATAGATTTTTGTTGTGTACCATCCAGTCATTTCTTATAGCAGCTCCAGGAACTAACACAACTATCCACCTAAATTGTTTTTTTTTTTTGGAATTATTATTTTTTAAATGTTTCAGTTTCTCTCTTGGTGATTTTATCCTTTCAAGGATTTATATTTTTCCCTCAGGCATTTACTCTATAATTTCCTCTGAATTCCAGATCCATACTTCCAGCCATAGCAGTGTTCTCTTGAAACCTCAAAAATACCATTTTCTTAAATGTTCCTCTCCATTCCTTACATGATCAAACATATATGAACTGTTTTTCCAACTCTGTTTTGCATATTTTTTTAGGGCAATCACATCCTCCCTGTTGACCAAACTGAAAAGGGAGGGGGTGTTATCTTCAACTTTTATCTTTCTCATCATTTATACTGAGTCATTGATCATCTGGCTGCATCTACCTTGCTACCATATACATGGTTCTTTCCTTCCACTTCCACTACTGGCAATTAAACTTGCACATGCTAGAGCCTGACACATGCTAGGCAAATCCTCTACAGCTACATCTTATATTCCCAATTCCTGTACATGGTTCTTTTGATTCATTTCTACTGTCATAATTTAAGCCTTCAGAGAAATTAGAATGAGGATCAAGGAGGCTATTTTAATGGCCCTAGTACATAAGGAAAAATTAAGGGATCAAGTTTAATGAGTTTAGGAATTCTTTTAATTATTTTTGTAATTTGCCTGAAATCCTAAATTTATGACCAAATTAAAAAATAAATTTAAGAGTTATCAAACACCTGGTCAGTTTTTAATTTAACATACTATATTTTCAATGCTAATAACTCATAGAGAGCAAGAAAAAGAAGAGAAATGGAAATTTTCAGATGTGGTGATCTATGGTCTTCATTATATCTATGTAACTCATTTCCTAAAGTAATGTTGAATAACACATGAATATTCAAAATAAGAACGATTTAAGACAAAGATCTTGACTTTTAGCTTGAGATGGATACATATGTAGAATCAAAGGTTTTCTAACTTTAATGATATTTACATCTATCAAAATTGCTTATGGCAAATCAAATTTTCAAACAAAAAACTAAAGAGTTATATACAATTCTATACAAAGTTCATATCTACTAATTTGGAATGAAGAAAGTGACATATAATTGTGAAAATTTTTGTATGTTAATCAACATCAGAATTTGGGACATATGAGCTTCTCTCATTTAGAGTTCATTAAGGTCAGCAGAAGCAAAATAATCCATGTAAATTGTATAGAAAAGTTCATTATTTTTCTTTCTACATTTCTTCATATTCTCTTATCTTGAGATAATTGTTAATTAAATATGTTGTTTCTGAAAATAAGTAAAGATGTACACAGTTGTTACTGAATGTAGAAATGAAAAAATAGAAGGAAAAGTGTTTCAGCTGAGAACCTTTTAATTAGCAGACAATTTGCTATAAATTTTTGATAATTTATAAAAAATTCCTTATTGATTGCTTTTAAACTTCATTACTCTCTATGAACTTCAATAGGGCTTCCATTATCTTCCAATGATGCATGTAATTTTAGAATATGATAATACATGAAAATTATGTGAAACTAAAGTAAACAAGTGATAAGTGGTTTAAGATTTAAGAAAAGAATGATCAGACCAGAGAACAGTAGACATTTCATGGTTTACGGGATAACTTTATGAAGAAAAGAATAAGAGGATATGGTTATAACCTAAAATCAAGTTATTACAGGGAAACATATACATAAATGATATCAATAACTTACTTCCCTGGAAGAATTTAAACAATCTTCTTCAGATGGCTGAAGACTGGAATTGAAGGCTAAGAGGTCAGTATTAGGTGATCCTCTGCCTCCTGAGAGTACCACCCGACCTCCACCTTGAAGAAGCGCATCCTCTTGCACTATCCAAGCCGGCATGCGCGCTGGGTAGGCTCTACCAAGCACCGCAGGACGGCATACACAGCAGCTTGAGCACAAGGAAGCTGGACACCACGTAGACTGTAATAATCAAGTACTCCTTGACATCTACACCACCATCTTCTGGTCTGCAGCACCTGCCGGTTCCTTGGCTCCTGACTGTTCTCCAGGAGAGACACAAGCACTGAGGCAGTGGCCGTCAGTGAGGGCTCGCCATTGTCCTTCACTAGCACCAACAGGCGCTTGTTTGGCGCGTCTGCTTAGTCCAGGGCACGCCTTGTGCTAATCTCGCCAGTATACAGCCCCGCGCGGAACGGGCTTTGCGCGACACCAGTCGCCGGCAGCAGCTCATAAGATAGTCACGCATTGTATCCTGAACCAGGGCCACTGCACGTACTTTGCTACCACGTAGCCAGCATCCATTGATCGCGGCACACGCTGACTCACTGTGCCACCCGGGATGCCCGCCCCTGACTTCTCAGGGAGCGAGCTTTGTCATTTTCATTCAACTCCAATACCTGCAACATCACTTTGCTGCCCAGGGGCGGCACGCCAGAGTCCTGCGCGTTCACCTGAAACTACAACAGCTCAAGCTTTTCATGGTCCAGAGGCTGCAGCACATCCACACTGTCGCTCTCCGCGTGCACTGACACGTAGATCGACAGCATACAATCGCCCACCCACCAGCGAATGCGACAGAGGTGCGTTCTCCTGTGCGTCCGCAGCCGGTGGGTTGTTCTCCTTCACCAACACCGCATACTCAAGTTGCGCAAAAGTCGGCGCATTGTCGTTCACATCCGCCATCTTCACGAACACTGGTGGTAACCCACAGCGAAGGCGAGCTCTCATCCCTTGTAGTAACCACGACTTTATAGGCAGATATGGTCCAAGGAACTGTCCAGAACCAGGGAATAGTAATTTTCGAGTGTAGACACCAGCTTGAAGGGTATGTAGGATGACAAGGAGCAGGTGACCTGTCTGTTGGCCCCAGAGTCACGGTCAGACTCGTTAATCCCCCTTGGGCATCCTCTTTCACAGTGATAGTGAAGTAACCATTTTCAGGTACAGAACTTCCACCAGGACCAAGCTGTGACCTACCATGGAAGGAATTCCTTTTCAATGGCGTTAACATGAATTTCATAAGCATTATTCTCTTCAAAATCTAGTTCCCTGTGGATTTTAATTTCACCTGTACCTGGATTAATTGAAAACTTGCAGTTCTCACTCACTGGCAAAATCATTCTGATTTCACAGGAAATTTCCCCATTCAGGCCTTCGTCCAGATCCGAAGCATTTAGTTGAATTATTCTAGTGTTATTTCTGACATTTTCAAACAATACTGCTTTATAACCAGGCTTATCAAACTCTGGAGCGTTGGCATCACATTCAGGATGGTTATTCCAATCTGAACAATCCTGTTAGCTCAGGATTACCACCATCAATAACCATCAGCAATAAATTAAGTTCGGGGGTTTCCTCTCCGTACAATAACTTCGGAAGAATTAACTCAGGCAATGTGCTTTTATCTTTATTGTTGCTGTTGTTGTTTGAAGTGCAAAATGCTCGTTTAAACTTAGTGTATAAGTTAGGAGAGAGTTTATGCCAAAATCTGCATCAGAAGCGCCTTCTAGAAGAAACTGTGTCCAGAGGTGCAGATTCAGACCTTATGTTTTTTTTTCTCTGAGCACTGGTGGGTTGTCATTAATGTCCTTCACCTCCACCTCCACATGGAAAACCTGAAACGGTCTGTCTAGGATCACCTCCAGGTAGATGCTACACTCCTCACTCCATCTGCACAGTTCCTCCCAGTCGATCCAAGAATTCACAAACAAAATGCCATTCTGCAGATTTACCTTTAGAAGGTCCCTGCGATCCTTGGACCCCACCCGGAACAGGCGTGGCACCAATTTTGTTATTTTCAGCCCTAGGTCTTGCGTGATGCGGCCCACAAAGGTGTGGTGCTTGGCCTCCTCTGCGACTGAGTAGCGAAGCTGACCGGTTCCCCCTTCCCTGGCTGCCAGGAGTAAAAGCCAAAGCAGCAATTGCAGGAATCAGTCCTCCACTCTATAAACACCATTGCAGACAGTGAAGGCCGTTTTAAAGGAGTGCATACATGAGATTTTTATGACCCTTTATGTACTTATTTAATAATTCTTGACCTGCGTTCCAGTCAATATGGAGTTGACCCTATACGTGAATGGTTGGTAACTATGTTCTCAGACAGAATTTTCCTTCTTCACCTTTTGAGTGTATATCGACATATGTGACTGATTATGTAAATACAACAAAAAGAAGAGAGGTTCTTTTGGGGTTAGCCATTTCTTGGTCTCTCTAAATTCTATTTTGGATCATTTCATGGATCATTTGTGAATGATTCTATTTAGTTAACCTATATGTTAGTAGCAACAAAACAAAAATGCCTATGTTGTAGTTTGAAAACATTTTCTGCTTCAAAGTTTATCATTAAAATAACCTTTGATATATATACTCAATGGAATATTACTCAGCATTAAAAGAGAATAAACTCATGGCATTTTCAGGTAAATGGATAGAATTGAAGAATATAATGCTAAGTGAAGTTAGCCAATCTCAAAAAAACCAAGTGCCAAATGTTTTCTCTGATATAAGGATGCTAATTCATAATGGGGATAGGGGGCAGCATGGGAGGAATAGAAGAACTTTAGATAAGGCAAAGGGGAGAGAGGGGAAGAGAGGAGGCATGGGGGTAGAAAAGATGGTGGAATGAGACAGACATCATTACCCTAAATACATGTATGAAAACACGAATGGAGTGACTCTACTTTGTGTACAACCAGAGACAAGAAAATGTGTGCTCTATTTGTGTGATATGAATTGAATTGCATTCTGCTGTCATCTATAACAAATTAGAATAAATAAAATTTTTAAAAACCTTTGAAAATAAGGCATAAAAGAAGTTACCCTTTAACTATTATGGGGAATAATCACTCCTAATCTTACACTGCTTACAATTCACACTGTTTTCATGATAAAGTGCTTTCCAAACACTTTTTGTAAGATGTTAGGAAAATGTTAAGAATGCCATTATCTAGTAGAGAAAATGAAACATAAATATTTCTATGAGCTAAACATTTCACATATATAAATTGTACAACTCTATTGAATATTGTAATTCATCATAAATATGAATGATGTTATCATTTGGGGTTCACTGATGTTTATATGTGATGGCTTTTCATACACCTGCTCTTATTCCCATAGCATGTTAAAGCAACGCAAAGCACAAGTTCTACAAAGCTTTATTTTGGAAGAAATAAAGCATTGCCATGAAAATGTATGAGTCAAGCTGCCAAATTTCACAATATCCTAAGCTAACAATGGCAGACCAATATGCAAATGATCTCATGAAGTGTTTTAAGGCACTTAATCTCACCAACCAAAGGCAAAAGAATGTGAACATGAAACAAACATGTTGGTTTCTCGATAAATCTCTCCCTACAGATCAGTTAGTAATTACGCAAAATAAAAGTCTCTTCAGAAAATCAAAATGGTGACTATGGTTCAAGGTGAACCAAAAGAGCTTTCATAATTTTTAATAAGTCAAGATAATCATGAAAACAAAATAGATAAGAAAAATAAACATAGATTTTATAGCTTCATTAATATTCAAACTCAAATCTTCAAGCCCATAATTTGTTGCCATTCCTCTTACATACAACAATAAAGGTAAGTGAGGTGTGAGGCCTTTGTATAACCAGAAAAAATAACCACTGAGTATAAAATAACTATAAAACTGGCTCTTACTTAAGAAAACCACTTTAATTTTGATATAATCAAACTAATTATTTAAATTGTTGAATATCACCACCAAGTTTCATCTCCTATTTTCCGTTTTCAAAGATGTTAATGTACCTGGATTGCTAAGGTACTGTCAGGGAAAAAAAAATACTGTCATGTAGTTCTCATACAATGTTGTACATAATTAAATTATTAAGAAGGTAATAAAATCTGTTATCTTAGTACTTATCTGAACTAAAAAATAAGGTGAAATTATAATTTTACCCAAGAATGTAACTCTGACAGTAAGAATAAATATGAATGACTCTGAATCTATAAAAATTATTTCTGGTAATTTGAAATTATCTAAATGTGCACCAGCTATTTGTGTAATGCAAAAGTAATGGTTTACAAAAATTTAAACTGTAATCTAAAATTCTCCAATGACTTGCTAAAAGTAAATTTAGACGAACTTGACTTAATCAAATGACTTCATTTGGAAATGGCAATAATGTATGCCTTAATATTCATATTTATTATATTTATACAATTTTAAATATCTTTTACCTATTTTTAATACTTAAAGAATGTTATTAGCCAATTAATATTGAATACAAAAGTTTCGAAGAAGAAGAAGAAATAAACAAACAAATATAGGAGTTCCTGATCCAAGTTCCAAGAATGGACTCCTTTAGAATATTACGCCAAATGACATGATGTGTAACCTTAAATTCTTGATTCTCAAAGAATTCTACAAACATATTCATAACAAAAAAAACACAAAGAATTAGAAGAAATTCCTAGTGGTAAATGACTCTTACATGATTATACTACACAGAAAGAATTTTTCATGAACATTAAGAGATAAGACATTTAAAGACAGAGCAGTTAAAATGTGAAATAGTAAGGCACAGTAGTAAATTCTTATAATCTCAGTTATCCATGAGACAGAGGCAGGAGAATTCCAAGTCTGACTACAGCTCTGGCAACTTAGAAAGATCCTATCTATATATAAATAAATAAGTAGGCCTAGGGAAATAGCTTAGTGATAGATAGAGCAACCCTGGGTTCAATCCCCAGTACCACAAAAGGAATAAAAGTGAAATGCATACAATGATAATTATCAGTTTTGTTCACTTTAATGGAGTTAAATTCTAGATAAATTCAAAAAATGTAGGAAACAATGCCCATAAGCACATATTGCAGATATCATAAACATATATGCCCTTAGCAAGTTTGTATGATTTGCTTGAATAATTTTAATAATTTTACTTGCCTAGTTTACTTTAGAAACATGAATCAGGGAGTTTTGCTTGAATATGTGCTAGATAAATCTATTGCCAGCTCACAGAAAAAACTTAAGAATGGACAATCTTATTATTTCCATTGTAGGATGTTATTTTCAGCATATTACAATGCAAGGCTGGATTTTTTCCTTCAAATAATATAAAAATAGGTTTTGCCACAGAAGTAGATGCAAAATTAAATTTTATTTGAAGGATAATACATTTAAGATGGATATTAAGCTCTATAGAAAAGGAAATAATTTCAGACCTAATGAAGAGGGTTCAATCACTGACACAGAATTTTTCTAACCAATTAATTCAATAATGTGAAAATATCAAGGCAAAATGCTGTTAAAAGAAAAAGGTTGGTAAATTTAAAGAATCCACAAAAATTGTGATTATTTGTACTCAAGTAACAACAGTAGGGCCATTCTTCAAAAACTTCTTTCAATGTATTCTAATCAAACATTAGAAGAAAGAGCACATTCATTAAAAAGGAGAAACATGATTTTTCATTATTAAAAGAATGGATATATGTATCATCTGACATATATAACTAACAGATATTGTTCTTTAAAACAATATTCAGATATATGATCCAAATAATTTAACATAAACATTCCGAATAGGTGGAATTTTTAGAAAACTCACGTGTACTGGGTTATTTAATCCTGCCTCCTGCCTTCCTTTTTCATCTTCTCTGTCTAGTCCTGGTGGAAGACTGGGGCTGAAGGCCATTAGGTCGGTCTTGGGCGGGTCCTCGCCAGAACACACCCTCTGCCTCCTCTGTTGCGAGTATGACCAGCTCCCCACCGCGCTGGAGCACACCAGCGTGGGCTTCCCAGGTCCACACGCACTCTCGGTAGGCCCAGCCGAGCACCGCAGCGCTGTGTATAGCAGCAGCGTGAGCACCAACAGGCTGGACACCGCGCAGATGGCTATGATCAGATACACGTTGACATCCACCAGCGCCTCTGCCTGGCCCGCAGAGCTGGCAAACATCGGTGAGGCGGCCTTTGGCGCCTGGCCGCTCTCCACCAGAGATACCAGCACTGTGGCGGTGGCCATCAAAACCGGTTCACCGTGGTCCTTCACCAGAACCAACAGGCGCTGACGTGGTGCATCTGTCTCGTCCAGGGCGCGCGTGGTGCTGATCTCACCGGTGTATAGCCCCACGCGAAATGGACTGCGAGCGCCACCTGCAGCTGGCAATAGCTCGTAGGAGAGCCACGCATTGTACCCGGAGTCTGCATCCACTGCGCGCACCTTGCCCACCACGTGGCCGGCGCCCACTGACCTTGATACCAGCTCATTCACGTTCACGGTGCCACCTACAGGAGTAGGCAGCAGCGCAGGCGTGTTGTCGTTCTCGTCCAGCACGAACACTTGCAGAGTCACATTGCTACCGAGTGGCGGCACACCAGCGTCGCGTGCACTCACTTGGAACTGCAGCAATTCAAGCTCTTCGTGGTCCAAGGGCTGCAGTGCATACACCTTGCCACTCTCAGCGTGCACCGACACGTAGCTCGACAGCGCACGCTCGCCCACCCGCCGCTCGACTAGAGAGTAGGATACCAGCGCATTTTCTTGCATGTCCGCGTCTCGCGCGGATACAGTGAAGATGTGGGAGCCTGGCAGATTGTTCTCTTTCACGAATATGGTGTATTCAGACTGTGGGAACGCAGGTGCATTGTCGTTCACGTCGGCCACCTCCACTGACACAGTGGCTGTGGTCCACAGTGAAGGCGAGCCCCCGTCTCGTGCAGTCACAACCAAATTATATGCTGACACTTTTTCTCGGTCCAGATCACTGTCCAACACCAGTGAATAATAGTTTTTGAAGGTGGACACAATCTTGAAGGGAACATCCGGCGTCAGAGAGCAAGTCACCTGGCCGTTGACACCGGAGTCGCGGTCGGATACGCTTATCAACGCAATGACTGTGGTTGGCCGAGTGTCCTCACGTACTGGGAGGGACAGAGAAGTCACAGTAATTTCAGGAGCGTTAT